CTTTGGAGGAGATTGAACACGTGGGCTAGAGCATAATTACAGTACTGGTCTACGACCTCGTCGAGCAATTCTCCACACTCGTACAGTAATTATGTTTCTAGCCCATTTGTAATATAAATAACTGTTATTGAAAAAATTACATTTTTATTTTCTTCCCAGCACGTTAGCGTGTTTTTTCGTTTATGGCATAATACATGGTTGTTTCTTTTATGATTTCTGTAAGTGCAGAAATGTCCAAGTCTACATGGTTCATTTTATTACGCAATACTTTAGATTGAAACTGTTGGAGTTTAACACATGACTTGATTAATAGTCCCCTAAATTTTTTGCAGTTCATTAATATACATAGATAAATATTTATTACTGTTATAATAGGAAGAGGATCTATTCAATGTAAAGTTGACTTATTCAGATTTTGTGTATCTAAAATTACATTAATTCATAAACGTTTTGTCCATTTGGTCATTTCGTGTAAGTACTTTTGAAGATGTAAAGAAGCAATTTGGGTGTGGCCAAGATTGCGGTGTCAGGAAGAAATGTAGTGGCTTAATTGAGAATGGACATATCTACTACTATCTATCTCTCCCATCATTATTCACTTTTACTTATCAATTTATTTTTTAAACATAACTAAAAATAAGTTTGTTGAAGATGATGGAGTATTTTTATTTAAAATTAAGCTATATTATTACATTTTAATGATTTTTGATTTAAGTCTTGTGATTAGTTTTCTTACCACAAAGAAAATATTGTATCACATCGTTTATGCATTTTTTGTTACCTATAATTAAACAGAATTTTTCCATTGCAGAAATTATTAAGGTAATTAATGATTATCAACCCAATAATACTCAACTATAAATACAATAATGACATAATAGTATAAATGTGTTAACAAAAAGAATATTTTAACCAGAAAGAATATTTAACGTTTTAAAAAAATATAATTTTTAAAATTCTGCGGCTTTATTAGAAACGGTTTATTTTTTAACAATAAATAAAAGTTGATGAACGTGACACCTTTTTCAAATCCTTTCAATAAATTTTCAACATTCCTATAATAATATAAATACCAATAAGTTTTTATATTATACTTCGCACGAGCCATTAAATTTTTAGTTGGCTTTATTATTTTTGAGGGTAATACAAAACTTAAATAATGGATATCTACTTTTCTTGGGTTGACTATTCCTTGCTTATTTTAATGTTAATACTCAGTGCAGTAATTGGAGTTTATTATGGATTTTTTAAATCACAATCTTCAGCTAAAGAGTATTTACTAGGAGGTAAAAAAATGGCAGTGTGGCCTATAGCTCTATCATTAATATCCAGGTAAATATTTTTTAGTAATTAATCATTAAATTGAAATAATTTTTCATTTAAATTGTTTTAGTACAATGTCTGGACTTCCTTTAGTAGTATTTCCTGTTGAAATTTATTACTTCGGTATCCAATTTATTTTGGGAATTTTTTTGGTAATAATAGCGACACTATTCACATATTACTTTTATATCCCGGTGTTTTATAAACTCCAATTAACCAGTACCTACGAATATTTAAAACTAAGATTTGACAATAAAATCAGGATATTAGCATCGATTTTTTATACTATTTACATGCTTCTTTATCTCCCTGTTGTTATTTTCGTACCAGCTCTTGCGTTAGCTCAAGGTAACACAAAAATTTTTTAATATTTTTTTTTTCTGTATTTTTTTATCAGTTACAGGAATTAATATTTATTTAATAACACCGATAACTTGCGGTGTTTGTATTTTTTACACTACTTTGGGTGGAATGAAAGCTGTTGTTTGGACGGATTCATTACAATTTGTTGTGATGATCGGCTCAATGATGATTATCGCTATCGTTGGAATAATTGCAGCCGGTGGATTACCTTTTATTATGAAAACGTTATACGAAACAAACCGCTTGGATTTCGAGTAAATTACTAATCATAAAACGCAAAAAGCTTACTGAGATAAATATTAATTTTCAGCTTTAATCTTGATCCAAGATTAAGAACAACATTTTGGAACAGCAGTATAGGAAATTTATTTTTCATTTGCAGTTTAATTTGTATCAATCAAAGCACGATACAAAAATGTTTATCATTATCCACGTTTAAAAAAGTTAAACAGGCGCTAATTATTTTTGGTACTGGTATGACGATTTTAGTCGCGTTTATATGTATATGTGGAATGACTATGTTTGGAAGGTATTACGATTGCGATCCGCTAAAAAGTGGAAAAATAAAGAAACCTGATCAATTGTTACCTTATTACATAATGGATGTTGGAAGAAACATTCCTGGATTGCCAGGATTATTCGTTTCGGGAATTTTAAGTGCTGGCTTAAGGTGATTATTATTAAGTGTTAGTCTAAATTGAACCAGGAAAATTATTTTTACGGTGTTAGCAAGCATTCTCTATTATATCAGTATTTGAATACTTAGTTCTAAACTGAGCCATTCAAAGCTTTTCGTCATTAATTATTTTAAGTTATTAGTTATGTTTGAATGTTTTCAATCTGTCTCCTGATTTAGTGATCCCAGCAAATAAATCCTATTTCAAATTGCAAAATATTAAGTTCTATACTACTTATGATGTTTTAAGCCAAACTAAAAGGTAAAGTGAAATAGCTGGTTTATGCTATTAAAATCTTAACATCATGACCAAAATTAGAAAGAATTTTGTGCACAACATTGGTGATAAGCAATTCGACGATGTCTTAGACAAGATTTATTATATTGAGTTTTAACTCAACATTAATTTTTGACAAACCAACAATTTTGTTCCTTTCTACTCACCCTTATAAATTAATTGCACTCTAAGATATCTTTTTAGACTTTACTGCGTAGAAAGAGTAGCTCAAAAATTGTTACCAATAGCTCAAAGCTCTTTTCAGAAACGACCTAAGCAACGATTAATGCAAGATTGCGCTCCAGATTGGAATCTCGAACGCCCGAATCATGTTCTATGATCAACATAGCCGAAGGTCCAAGAGATATGTGATTGCTGTTATAGCAATTTAGGAGATTAGATGGAAAAGTAAGGGTATCATAAATAAAAGAGATTACTTGCTGTATTTCTCTAGAAACGAAGACACATAAGGAGAATGCGGAGTTCGATTTATAATAACCAAAAGAATTTATGGATCAATTTTGGCATTTCATCCAATATCTAGTAAACTATGCGTTACAAGAATAAAAGAGTAACTCCACAACACATCTTCAATCAATATGCATGCTCCAACTGAGACTGCGAAAGATGTTGCAGAAAGCTTCTATAATGAGCTACAAACCGTATGTGGGAAAATTTTGGATTAAACTTTTAATATTTAACCTTGCAGATAGAACTGTTTTACAATTACAGCCTCCACTAAGAGACAGGTAGTAAGTAAGTAAGATTCAGAGTTGCTAAATTTGTCTCAAGTAGTAACTTAGTCAAGAATACTTGGTTCCCACGGAAAATATGTACAAAGGAAAGTGGCAGATACCGGTATCAAACGAGATCAACAAAATAAACCATGTATTAATCTGTAAGATTGGGGGTGCTTCCATCCAGAACATCAGATCACACGGAGGACGTAGAAAAAGATCGTGCATAAAAAATTCAATCATTGAGGCAGCAAGTAGTACTGTGAAATACAGAAAACTAAAGAATGAATAGTGGTAAATAGAAACAATTATAACCAAAAAAGAACGGTGTCTAGAATATGTAGAAGGAAGAAGAGAGAGGATTTTAACAGAAAAATACAACAAATGGCAGATTATCACAACAAAAACAATAGGTAGGTTTCTATAGGAAGACCAATGAAATGTTCTTACAGAGAGAAATGACGCGAAATGATGCGCTGTATATTACACTATTTAATTTGGTGCTAGAAGCAATAATCAAAAAATATGACTATAATGCTACTAAAACATGATGATAAATTAAAGGATGAAGAAGTGAAACCAGCTATGAGAACAGACAATTCATTATGTCATGGATTTAACAGACGAAAAATAGTATTACGTATTTCCAGATTAGATCTCTTTAATTAAAAATTAAGAATGGAGATAAAACTTCCACAACTTATTGATATAGAAATCGCAGAATATGCAACTGAAATAGAGAATTATAACATTCAAAAGAGAAGATATTTAGAGGCATACTGAAGTCCTACTCCATGTCTAACTACTTACAAATACCAGGATATTATCATCTAAAGTCGATTAAAGATGTATTTTAACAAATTGGAGAAGCAACAGAAGTCGAAAGGAAAAACCCAACTGACAGCATAGACGAATTGGCAATATCGCTCTCATACCATGAATTTGACAAAAAAATGATTAAAAAGCTAATTAAAATCAACGACATAAATTGCACGTTAAAACAGCAAAAAAGAAACTGAAATCGCAAAGAAATATATACGGCGTTACATACGTTGCATAGATGAGGAGACCAAAATTATTACGATAAATAAAAAATAAGAGCAGTTATTATAACCCTATGGATCTTTTCTATTTCAAGAGAGCTTACCAGAAAATAATGCGAGAATATAAAGATTGAATGAACACAAGATAAAATTACATAAACATCTTGGAAAATATAATGTAAGAGAAAGTTATCATTAATAATACGATAATACAAACGTCAGAAACGAAAAGAAAATTGTATGAGTACACAAATATATTTGTCATAATAACAAGTATGCAAACTATGAATGCTGCAATTGTATACCGAGAAATTTTTACAAAAATTATTGGAAATTCAAACATATCAAAATAGTACAAAAGCATAGAGTGATACATTTTTTGTTGGATAATCTTTTAATTGTAATTCTTTATTCAATATCTAATCCCAGTTAATCCATAATAGCAAGATTCATTACTATGATAGTTTAAGTTTAAATTTCATGGCTTATTTATTATCTACAATAACATCTTTATGCTTTGGTGAAAATCTTTTTATTGATATAATGATATAACAGGGAATTTAAAAACATTCTGAAATAATTTTTTTTTTCAGTACACTATCAGCTGCAATGAACTGTTTAGCGGCAACAATGTATGAAGATTTCATAAAACCATTTATGAAAAAAGATATTTCAGAAAGAAAAGAAAGTTTTATATTGAAATTGTTGGTATTATTTATTGGACTAATTTCAACCGCATTAGTTTTCGCAGTTGAACATTTAGGAAGCTTATTTCCTTTAGTTATTAGTTTTATGAGTGTTGCAGGAGCACCTTTATTGGGTCTTTTTACGATTGGAATGTTAATACCAATGGTTAATTCAAAGGTTTTTATTCCATTTTTATATCTCACAGAAAATAAGTAAATTTTTTTAGGGGGCACTTTGCGGTGGTACGGCATCACTAATAATAATGGCGTGGATTACAATCGGAGGGTACATCCATAGAAGTAAATATCCTTATATTCCATTACCACTTTCAACAAATTCTTGCATTAATAATACAATAACAAAATTAACTCAAAGCGTACCCGATCAAGAAAGTGAAGATGGCTTTTTTCTTTATACAATATCACATAATTATTATTCAATGATAGCGGTAATGATTGTTATTGTTGTTAGTGTTATAGTGAGTTATTTTACAAAAGACAAGGAGACGGTGGTAAATAAGGATTATATAAGTCCGGTCGCTCATTTTCTTTTATCAGGTAAAGATAACGAAAATTCGTATCATGACGTCGACAAAGCATTAACTATTGTTATGGAAAGATCCTAAACATCATTTTCACATACGCTAGAAGTTATTATTCATGATATTTTCTATTAATTAATGTAGGTTAATTTTAAGACGACTTTTTTATTTTAATAAAATATTTTGTGTAAATTCTTTTGTATCTATATTACCCTCATCTTAAATTCATTTTGTGTGGCTTTACAAAAAATTATAAAAAATTATAGTTTTATTACAAAATACAAATCGATCTAATTGAATTATATGGTGTTCTGAAAAGGTTTATTCTCGAAGTTAAAAAGCTATGCGTACTCTATCTGGCTTACGACAATTTAATATATCAGGAAAGGAACAGATGAAAACAATGATTATAGGCGACAAGAATTCATGGGATTGTAGATAATGAAATAAACTATAACTCACAACAGTATTAGAAAAACAAGGCGATAGCGAGTTTGTTCTTTTGAACATGCTGCTTCTTCCAAAATGACAGAAATAACATTTTTCGAAAATGCACAAATACTGGAAGGATAGAAAATTTAATTATTCTTCTGGCGTCATCAATCCGAAAACATCGAATGTACAGGATGGTTCAAATTCGATGTCCGAGATGGTTCAAATTCGATGTCCGAATAGGCTAACTCGGAAACTATAAGAGTTAGAAAAAAAGTAGCTTACATGTCAACAAGTGCAATTATTTTGCTTATTATTATAGGTGGTGTATTACAACTAAGACATTATATGGACACTTTCCTACAGAGAATTTGACGACGTAATAAAAAAAAATGTTCGGTTGTAGATTTTGAGATATCATGACAATTTTCGTTTTTTTAAATAGAAACAATCACTAATTATTCCCTTATTAAATTCGTTATTTTTTTCTGATTACAAAAATATTGGGTTCGGCAGGTCTATTTCTTATTGTTTTGGAATATAGCTAAAAATAAACTTTTTTTTAGTGTCATCAAAGAAATTAAATTTACAGTTTCCTGTAAATTTTAACTAAAAGTTAAAAATACATATTTCCGATATTTGAAACAAATGCATTTGTTGAACTATTTAATTTATATTTGTTTTACAGAAAAGTTGGAATAGATTGCATTATTTCACATTTTTTATTAATATTTAATATATTATTATTAAATGACTTAATAAATTATTGATAGATGGCGCTCATATATATTTTTTTTTAATTCAAATAAACATAGCAACATTTGTTTGTATTCAAAAATTTCCTGAAGTGTCAAATTAAAAATCCTGTTTTTTAAGATGGATTATGAAAATTACGAAAAGTTTAACATGTTAGAATGTTACATATTAGAAAATAAAGTAAATTTTACATAAATTTTTAGTAGAATAATTTTTAGTTATAGTACCGTTATTTACAGGAAACTGTAAATTTAATTTCTTTGACGACACTAAAAAAAAAGTTTATTTTTAGATTTATTCTAAAACAATAAGAAATAGACCTATCTAACCCCATATTTTAGTAATCAGAAAAAAAAACGAATTTAATAAGCGAATAATAAGTGGTTGTTTCCATTTAAAAAAACGAAAATTGTCATAATATCTCAAAATCTAAAACCGAAAAATTTTTTTTAATTACGTCATCAAATTCTCTGTAAAAAAGTGTCGATAACTAAGACATTATCTTAGCTATAATACTCCACCTATAATAATAACCAAGATAATTGCACTTGCTGGTTTTACATTTTCAATTTTGGCGTCTAGGGGAAAAACAAAAGACGATACCGCTTTGAAGTTTTTGGCATTAGCAGTTTCTCGAAAAACGAGATCATGACATATGTAAGCTACTTTTTTTCTAACTCTTATAGTTTCCGAGATATCCTATTCGGACATCGAATTTGAACCAACCTGTACATAACACTTTGAATCACAATATTTGCAAATTATGTTTTGTCTAGGGTCTATTATCATAAAACATATCATGGATACTTGAGGTTGACTTTCAAAAATTAATGCAAATTTGATGAATACTGTATGAAGATTGCATGAAACTTTGAACGAAACTTTATTACACTGCTTGATCATACTGTTAAGTGCAGTTTTTATGTATACTCAACTTTGATATGATGTATACTTCAGTAATACTTAATTCTGTAGAGACTTGTTGATGTAGACTTTATATAATAGAGCTCTATATGTAATGCCGGGATGATTTAAATTAAAAATCAAACTGGATGGAGGCTTAATGCATCTATTAACTCAATGCAAAACGCATATTTAAGGCAGATTTCCAAGAATTAATACAAATTTATTAAGAACTGTATAAAAATGTTATGAATTCTTAAAGGAAATTTGATGCGCTGTTACATGCAGTTTTTATGCAGAACGATATTGATTTATTTCTAATTAAACAAGGAAATTAGAGAAGTTTTCGATAATCTACAATAATGCCCTCAGCTTCGAGAAGTTCGCATGACATTAAAAAAAGAAAATTAAAAACCCTGGCAGATAAAAACAAATACATGACAGATCCACCAAAGAACTACACATTCCTTCAACATTACCATAAGTGATTAATTTCTTGTATTACTATTTTAATAGTTTAATTATTTTATGATAGCAAAATAATTTTTTTCTTTAAATTAGTGCGATATTCCTACGGAACCTTATTTTATCATAAAAATAACGTGTAATAATTTTCTTATACACTAACCATTCGAAACAAAACAGTTAATGTTTGAACAATCTAAGATGCCTCGACACACACAAGATCTTGGAACGCACGTAAGAATTTTGCATTTTTTGAATGCGATATTTATTTGAGGCTGATGAAAAGAACTACAAGAGATATAACAATTCAAATTAGACAGAACCAATCTATTGCTTAAGATCTTTGCATTCACCGTACTTTCGACGTTTCGAGCCTGTTAAAGTTTTTTGCCATGTGTTTCAGACGTGCATTTTTCTTCCACATATTGTAGGTCTAGGGCCTGTAATTTCCAACTCATCAGTTCTCTTCAGATGTTGGTGTCTATGATTCTATCCATCTCTTTGGAGATCTTCCACGAAGTCCCCACGTGATCATTCCAAGGTCTTATACGTTTACGTCCCCATCTAATTATGTCTACCATCTCACATTCACGTCTTATACCTGTGATATATATATCTGAAATGTTTCTGAATATCTTCATTTTTGTTGTTCAGAAAATACTTTTCTGGGTCTAACACAGGTTTTGTATATCGTACTTTTGCCCTTTTATTCATACACTTAATCTACAGTACACACGTTATGTGTGCACATAAAAGAAGAAATTCGATAAAAGTTCGGGGAGTATTCTTCCAGAAAAATGCTTGGACAGCACACTTTTCATATGGTATCTCTGGCAGTTCTTCGATATTTATCCTTATCGTCTTCTTCGTTCTTCTTTTTGGGGGCATCCGCGTACAATTACTTAAAGTAAGTTTTCCAACAGGACTCAGATTTGTTGTATTTGTATATACTCCACTGCTTCGAGTTTCCTTCTTGTTATCATTCCCCATACATTCTTTTGCAGTCCATATAAGTCATGTTCGACTTCGAAGGTATATCCAACCCAAAATTTCCATTTTATGTTTCTAATTTCTGCGTTCTTCTCTTCTGGTGTTTTGTATACCAATGTTTGTTTCGAGAATTTTTATTTACTCCCAAATTTACAGATTTTGCACCAACCTTAACACTCACCCATAAATATTCAATGCCGCTTGTAACAGGTAAAGTATTATACTAATATTATGCACAAAGAATTAAATTCCACCATACCTAGCCATTAGTAATTGACTTCAATAATTTCATAAATTTTCTCGGTAAATTTATGACAATATCAAGGAATTTTATAATTCTATGAATTTGTGCATGTTTAAAGCAAACACGTGAATATAACTCGTTATACTTCTCGAAATTGAAAATAATTCTGTATCAAAAAATTCAACACATGTATTATTAAATATAGTTTTTACTCGAGACTTGATAACGACTTCACTCCATCTTTATTTAAGACACCCAGTCAAAATCGATTGGGAATTTTTAAATTATTCTTAAAAACTAGATATACTTTACCTCTTTTAACCACATTTCCATAGTTTTCGTTCTCAAAATCCAATACTCGCCACAGGGGCTTTTACCGCACATACACAAAAAGATGTAAATCTCATTTTGGTCCATTCTATCGCCGTACCAAATTGCATCGATTTTCACTATGTTTGTCCAGAGCTTAAACGCTTTTATTTGCCAAATAGTCTTACAACTTGATTCTCTCAATAACATACGACGTATTGTTCCAGACTTTGAAAAAAACAATTACTTTCAAGAATTATAAACTTCAAATAAATCAAATGACGTCTGACCTCCCGGAAAATATTTTCCTAAAAACAAGGAAAATTACAAAAATACCTTCGATAACCTTCAATAAACATTAAACATTTCTTTCACCTGATTGTTTGTCATATCAAGAATTTTTTAACTTATTCTACATCATTGAGGGTATTGTTTGTAATAAGCGATCACATAAATTAAAATTTCGTCCTTATTTTTTTCATAACATGCTGTCTAAATTCTATGTTTTTTTTAACCTTCCATTTTTTACATTCCGGTTTATTTTATATATTGAGGCTTATCGATAACTTCCTTTTGTAGTACTTCCTATGCACCGCTCGTTTCCTCTAGTATTTATATCGTCTTAACTTAAAAATGTCTTTATTATTCTCATGGTTGGATTACACATTATTTATTTTAATGCTTTTAATAAGCACCATAATCGGAATTTATTATGGATTTTTCCAAAAACAAACTTCAGCGAAAGAATATCTTCTTGGGGGTAAAAACATGAACGTTTGGCCAATTTCTTTATCATTAGTGTCAAGGTAAGATTATTTTTTAATATATCTTCAAAAGAAATATATAATGTATTGATTTAATTTAGTTGTGTGTCTGGAGTACCTCTTTTGACGTTTCCCACGGAAATATATAGTTTTGGAATATCAACTGCTTTAGTTACTTTTGAAATGGCAATAATATTCGGTTCTACATATTTCATATTTTTACCCGTATTTTATCAATTACAAGTAACAAGTATGTACGAATATTTTCAATTAAGATTCGATAAAAGCATGAGGATTCTCGCTTCTGTATTATACACTATTTATATGGCTTTGTATCTACCATTAGTTATTTATGTACCATCTTTAGCACTCTCTCAAGGTAAAACATCAAATTCAAAAATGTAGTAAATTATTTTAAATTATTTTTTTAGTTACTGGAATTGCTGCTGGAGTTTTAAGTCCAATTTTATGTGGAATATGTATCTTTTACACAACTTTGGGTGGACTTAAAGCCGTCGTGTGGACGGATGCTTTACAATTTTTCTTTATGATCGGTTCGATGTTGGTTGTTGTAGTCGTTGGAACAATACATGCTGGTGGAATTGAAAACCTTTGGAAATTAGCTTCAGATAATGGAAGATTAGATTTAACGTAATAACGCATCATTTTTATTTTATAAATAGTTTCAAATTATTTTTTTTAGTTTCGAATTAGATCCCACCATAAAGGATAGTTTTTGGAGTGGAGCAATTGGATTCCTTTTCGTTTGGTTCACCGTGGTTTCTTTAAATCAAGGAACGATTCAAAAATGCATGTCGCTTTCTTCCTACAAAGAAGTCAAAAAGTAATTCTTTTATTTAAAAATATTAATATTTTTTTAATTTTTCAATTATTATTATTAGAGCTTTATTGACATCTTGGATAACGTTAAGCATCCTTTTATTTTTCGTTTTTTTTACTGGTTTAACGATGTACGCAAAATATTTCGATTGTGATCCTTTAGCATCTAACAAAATTCAAAAACGTGACCAAATGGTTCCTTATTTTGTAATGGACGTTTCTAAGAACATACCAGGACTTGCTGGGTTATTTATAGCAGGAATCTTAAGCGCAGCTCTAAGGTAATTAATTTTCATTTGAAATCGTAATTAATTATATTTTATTAATTTTAATTTAGCACATTATCAGCTGGAATGAACTGTTTGGGAGCCACAATTTATGAAGATTTCCTGAAACCATTTCTCGGTGCTAATATCTCGGATAAAAAAACTAGTCTATTATTAAAATTAATTGTAGCTGCAATTGGTGTTATATGCACAGCTTTAGTTTACGCCGTTGAACAACTTGGAAATGTGTTACCTCTTGTTTTAAGTGTTTTTGGTGTTGCTGGAGGTCCAATTTTAGGAATCTTCACCGTTGGAATGATGGTTCCAATGGTAAACTCAATAGTAAGTTAATTAAAACAACCTTTTTGAGTATGAATTTATTCGTTGCTATAATTTTTAGGGTGCTCTTATAGGAGGAATAGTTTCTTTAGTAGTAATGTCTTGGATTGTTGTTGGTACACATATTTATCGAACAACTCATCCTTATTCACTTTTACCAATATCGACAGATGGTTGTCCGTTAAATGGAACTTTGAGTGCTTTAAATACAACTGCACACGTTTTTGTAAAAGACGATGGATTCTTTTTATTTAGACTTTCGCCTAATTATTATACATTAATGGGATTCCTAATTGTCGTAGTTTTAAGTGTTGTGATCAGTTTTCTTTTTAAGAAGAGAAACACTATTGTTGATAAGGATTGTATCACTCCTTTTATGCAATTTTTATTGCCTAAAACAGAAATGTATTTTCCAGTGGAAGAAATTGTTAAATTAACCGATAAAGATAATGAGTATAATAAAATTCAATTATAAATTTAATATGACCGAGTTCTTTATTTAATAACCAAAATGATTTTTTTTGCTTGTGTAACATGACATTAAAGTAAATATGTTTGTGTTGATTATACCTTGCTTATTTTAATGTTAATGTTCAGTGCAATGTAATAATAACAATAAGATTTTGAGGTTGCGTCGTTTACACCAGTTATGTTTAATGAAAGCAGTTGTGTGGACAGATACCTTCTGGATAACATCCAGAAGGAGTATGCATTTTTTGGCTAAATTTGGCAGAAACTTTTAACTACTAAAAAGTATTAATTGATTAAAATTTTATAAAAAAATGAACAAAATAACACAATTCTTAGTGATTTTGACATGAACATGAATAAATAATGATAACAAACGCACCGGGGTCCAGATCCCAGCCACTCTATAACTGATGTTTTTGATCGTCCTGTAACTTGACTAAAAAGAGAAGAAGATGGTGACGAAATTACTAAGAAAAATAAGAAACAACTAAGATCACCCATGAAAAGAAATATAGCAAGAAATATATAAGCTCTGGATGGAGTCTAAGAAGAAACAGGAGGAGACAAAAAGTACGAAGTTGGGGATACAAGATACAGTAAAAAAGTTGAATGAATTGTAGGAACAGAATGGTGAACAATTGAAGCAATTGACGAATGAAAATAAAATGCTCAAGGGAAGATTGAAGAGATGAGAAGGAAAGAAGGATAAATAACCTAATAATAAGAGGAAAAAAATCTATACGATGGGAGAGACTGAAACAACAAAAAGAACTCTTGATAGTTGGTAACAAAATGAAAACACTTAGAAATAAAAACAAACTGAAGAACGATGAATGGATAAAACTATATAATGGTCAAAAATGAAAAATGAATTTGGAACAAAAATCTTGAAAGACAGAAATCAAAATACTAATACTACTATTCCAGAACGTGTTAAAGCTTAACATCTTATAAAAATAATTAAATTATCAATAACATCATCATGTCTAGCTGTATTCATCTCTACCACACTTTTCTCACCTTTAATCTTCTTCATCTAGATCTCCAGTTTGAACTCCACTTAGGTTTTCGCCAAAATTCTTTGATTTCAAGGTTCAATCCTACTTTCCACCTCTGCCCAACTGTTCTCTTACCCTGCCTTGACTATCTTCCATGATTTCTGGAACTCAAACCCCAAACGTACACTTACTTAAAAATTAGAACACATCTTAGACTGAAACTGATCAAAAACTGGAAAGAAAAGAAAAGAGCAGAAAACACTGTAAAGAAACTGGTAGTAGAAGAAAGATACTGGAAAAGGAAGAAGGTGGATACAAGTAATAAAAGAAAAAAACTGAAGGAAGAAAGATACCTGAAACGGGCCTACAAAGGCAAGAAAAAGACTTGATAAGGATTGAAATGGTGGAAAGGAAATTTGTAACAGAAGAGGGTGTCACAATCTAGCTCTCGAGAACTTCTCGTTTCCCGTAGTGGGTTTCCTAGCTAGGTCCACGCAGCGGCTCGCGTACCCAACTGTCCACGCACTACCGTTTTCTTGATAGCTAGCAATGACTAAGTTAGGGTTTGGCACACTGCATTCGTTCACTTGAAAGCGAACGGCAGTAATTTGAAATTAAGAATAAAAATAGATTGAAAGAAAACGAAATTTCACTGCTAAAGAATAAGTTTGCTTTATTTTTGAACAAGAACGTATTATATTATATATAAAAAAAAACAACTGACAAAGGTTTTAAAAAGTAAAAATTACATGACATAAGCTATTCAACAACATCATTACGAAATTTGCCGAGGTGGTTAGCAGGTTCAATGAGAAATCGGAAGTTTAAGATTTTAATAACGCTTACCCGTTTGTTAAAGTAAAATATTCATCGAAGAAAGAGAATCCAATTCAACGAATTTTATAACTAAATTGCTATAAGTTCAAATCGCACGACTCGAATTTAAAAACACAACAAAAACTTTAATTTCCCGGTTTCGCCCGATGCTTTTCTGTTCCAATCCCGTAACCGACTCCCCGATTTTTTCTTCATTTCTTCCCTGCTCCATCTACTCTAACTGCCACCTCGGCACATTCCTGCCAGAACCGCCTACGTAGTATTTAGTCTGGACCCTCGGTTCTCAAGACGCAACTTCGTAATTAAATTACAAAGTTCTGCCTGTATTGCGTTTTATTATTTTTTTTTAATCGCTTTCGAATCCCAAAATGCGGTTTGTTACAAGGGAGACTGAACAGTGGCTGGAAAGAATGGAAGATCGTAGGAAAAAGAAGCTGAACACAAACTGGAAAGCTAAACTTTTGACAAGTTTCTCTGGGGTGATAAGAAAGAAGCTGGACAAAAAATGGGAAGTGAAAAAAAGATAAAATAGAGCTAAGCTCCGACTTTAGTGTAGTTTGTCTTGTTATAAAGATACAAAAGAAAATGTTGTGCTATAAATGTAATAGTACAAGTAGAGTAGTACGATATACTCTTAGTGCTCTTAAAATATTCTCCCACTATTCGTGGAATAAATCCTTTGACGTATTGTTTTCCAAGCAACCTGACAGACATTATGTAGAATTTTTCAGTTTTCTCCCGAACATCCTCGATGGGCGAAAAATCAGGTAACGTCTTATCCTATAGGAAAAGTGAGTTTTCCAATAGCGGAAGAATATGGGATTCTTTCATTTCATCCACATACAGTGTGTCCCAGGATAGATGTTACAAGAGATATAATGACTTAAAAATTTTTGAATTTTATCTTAAGGCTGAGGAATTAAGCCCTGCTTGGTGCGGAGAGAATTTTAAGTATATTTTCATATTTTGAAAATCAACTCGGCCTTGATAGTGAAGAGAAAACTGTTTTTAGTTCAGGTAAAGTAACCTTTTTGTTCATGATACTGAAAAATGTTATTAAGAAAAATTGTTCAACATGTGAAATTATGTTCCTATGCAAAATTTCAGAAAGATCTATCTACTTTGGTTGAACCATCACATTTTAGTTTAAATAACATAAATATTGTATAATTTTATTTTATTTATAGAAAATCGAACGTAAACTTAACTGTCGTTTATTCAACATAACATCCACCTTTTGTTGCACACTTTTCTATACGATGCCTAAATTCTCTAAAGCTGTTCTGAATTTCTTCGATGCGTATTTGTCGTATAGCATTTGTTATCCGTTCTTTTAATATTTTTCGATTATTCGGTATTGGTTGAGCGAAAACTAGTTGTTTAAGGCGACCCCATGAAAGAAATCTAATATTGTAAGGTCGGGAGACCTTCGAGGCCACGCAATTGGACCATTTCTAGATATAATCTTTTCTCGAAATATTAAATTTAACCATTCAGCTACACGTACTGTAGAATGTGCAGAGCATGAATCGTGTTGGAAGTAAATTGCCTGTCTTTCTATCAGCAAAAAAAATTCTTATCTAAAATATAGTGGTTTAATCAATGTAGGTAGATCTTTCTGAAATTTTGCATAATGCCACAATTTCTCATTCTGAACAACTTTTCTTAATGATATTTTGCCGTATCAGGAACAAAAAGCTTACTTTACCTGAACTAAAAATAGTTATCGCTTCACTATCAAGACCGAGTTGATTTTCAAAATATGAAAATATACTTAAAATTCTCTCCACACCAAGCAGGGCTTAATTCCTCAGCCTTAAAATAAAATTCAAAATTTTTTAAGTCGTTATACCTCTTGTAACATCTATCCTGGGACACACTGTATATAACTGATTCATGTTACCTCTGAGAAATACCAAACGAGATATACTTCCATAAGTTATAACACCCCAGACTACAGATTCTCACAGTTTGGTGTGAGCATTTCCATTGTGACGTTCCTCAAGTCTTCGTCTGACCTTCATACGACCATTGTATATCCTCAAACAGAATCGGAATTTATCACTGAACACAACTCTAAGTTCCGATGTAGACGCCGCTGTCGGTGTTAAGCTGTTATTTATAGCATAAAAGATTGTAAACTTTGATTTTGCATCGGTCTGTTTCAGGCCTTGTGAGACTTCAAATCTTTTGTTTCTCGGATTTTTCCATCAATCTTCACTCTACTTATTGTATCTTCTACTCTTTGTTATGCGTATCATTCTAACCAGCTTTGATGGAATGTCGAAGTCTAACAGTGTTGATAGAAATTTACCTGTGTCTACGTTATCGTAAGCTATTTTCAGGTCGATGTATAAATGGAATATGTCTAAAGACCTGATACTCTTCCAACATTCTTTCTGCCAAAGGTTTCAATTAGTCTTTAACGACGTTAATGAATACTTTGTAGGCATTACTAAGTGGTAATATGCGTCTATAGCTTTCACATAGTAATTTGTTTTCCATTCGTCTTGTATTTTCTCACTAACCTTGTATTTTATTAGACTGTACATATCTCCTGCAATTGGGTCTTCCCCATACTTGAAGAGTACTGCTGGGATGTTGTCTATTCTTGGCACTCTTTCATTATTTAGCAATCTCAGTACTTTCTGGATGTTTACCAACCACCCAACCCAACCCAACCACAGTTTGGTTTTATATCAGGTTCCTCTGGTCTCTAATTTATTCTATAGTCTATATTCAGTTCAACTTGGGTATCCGTTTGGTTTAATAGTTCTTGGAAGCAGTTTGGCTTTCTCGAATATTTTCGTAATTGGCTAATACAAGGTATTTAGTTCGCTCAATTTATTGCTACGTCTCTTTCCCTTAAATACTATTAGTACAATCAATCGAAAAAAGAAAGAATTTTTTTCTTTCCATTAAAAGATTTTTGTTATGCAATAACAACAACATAAAGCCATCTAGGTATTCATATTATTATCATTTTGAAAATGTGAAATTCTTGTTATGTTCATGCAAAATTTTTCATTTGTAATTTATTGTTAAAGAAAGTAAAATCAAGGTTCAACATAGAAATAAGTTAATAATCAATTAATTATTAAATTTTATTGTACTCATTATCTATATCAGTGAATTTAACAATTTCTTTAACGGAAATATACTTTTCAGTTTTAGGTAACAAAAACTGCATGAACGGAGTGATACAATCCTTATTAACAACAGTATTTTTTTTATTAATAACACAGCTAATCGCAATACTTAAAATGACAACAATCAAAAACCCCATTAATGCGTAGTAATTTGGTGAAATCCTAAATAAAAAGAATCCATCGTCTTTGACAAAAACATTTTTAGTTGTGTTTAAAACATCCAAAGTTCCATTTAATGGACAACCGTTTATTGATATTGGTAGAAGTGAATAAGGATGGCTTTTTCGGTATATATGTGTGCCAACAACAATCCAAGACATTACTATTAAAGAAAGTATTCCTCCTATAAGAGCACCCTAAAAATTGTAGTAAGGAATAAATCGTTACTAAAAAAGTTCCTGTTTTAATTAACTTACTATTGAGTTGACCATTGGTACCATCATCCCAACGGTGAAAAGTCCTGTAATTGGGCCCCCAGCGACACCAAAAACACTTAAAACAAGAGGTAACACATTTCCAAGTTGTTCAACGACGTAAACTAAAGCTGTGCATAACACCCCAATTGCTGCTACTATTAATTTTAATATAATACTAGTTTTTTTATCCGATATGTTATCACCGAGAAATGATTTGATGAAATCTTCATAAATTGTAGCTCCTAAACAATTCATTCCAGCTGATAATGTGCTAAATTTAAATTAATACAAGAAAAATTAAATTAAATTATTAAATAAAATATTACCTTAAACCTGCACTTAAAATTCCTGCTATAAATAACCCAGCAAGTCCTGGTATATTCTTAGAAACGTCCATAACGTAATAAGGAAGCATTTGATCACGTTTTTGAATTTTATTAGATACTAAAGGATCGCAATCGAAATATTTTGCGTACATCGCTAAACCGGCGAAAAATATAAAGAATAAAAGAATGCTTAAAGTTATCCAAGATATTAATAAAGCTCTGTATAATGAATAAAATCAAATCATTCAAAAAATAATTATTGTTTTAATAAAAGAATTACTTTTTGACTTTTTTATAAGAAGAAACTGACATGCATTTTTGAATCGTTCCTTGATTTAAAGCAACCGTAGTGAACCAAACGAAAAGAAATCCAATTGCTCCACTCCAAAAACTATCCTTTATGGTGGGATCTAATTCGAAACTAAAAAATAATTCGAAATGATTTTTAAAATAAAAATTATTGTTATTATTATTACGTTAAATCTAATCTTCCATTTTCTGAAGCCAATTTCCATAGATTTCGAATTCCACCGACATGCGTTATTCCAATAACAACAACAGCAAACATCGAACCGATCATAAAGAAAAATTGTAAAGCATCCGTCCACACGACAGCTTTAACTCCTCCTAAAGTTGTATAAAAAATACATATTCCACATAAAATTGGACTAAAAAATCCAACTGAAATTCCAGTAACTAAAATTTTTATTTGAAATAATTAGCGAAATATTTGAATTATTTTTTACCTAAATTTGATGTTTTACCTTGAGAGAGTGCTAAAGATGGCACATAAATCGCTAACGGTAAATATAAAGCCATGTAAACAGTGTACATTATAGATGCCAGCATCCTCATTTTTTTATCAAATCTTAGTTGGAAATATTCGTACATACTCGTCACTTGTAATTGATAAAATACGGGTAAAAATATGAAATATGTAGACAAAAATATTATTGCCATTTCAAATGTAACCAAAGCAGTTGATATTCCGAAACTATAAATTTCGACAGGAAAAGCCAAAAGAGGTACTCCAGATATACAACTATATAAAATTAAAGAAAAGTGTAAATTATAAAAAGATATTAAAAGATTAATGTGTAATCCAACAAAAGTAAGATTCTAAACATCACAAAAGAAGAAGAATAACTCCCGTTTATTGACGTAAGAATAGAGGGGCAACGACTGGATGTGGTACGAATATCTTGGAACCATAACAAGTAAGAATGGAAAGATAGATCAGGAAATACGCAACAGAACAGCAAGAGCAACACCCTCGTAGGCAAGAAGGAATTGAACACTAAAGCAAAAATACAATTAATAAAACCTACACTCTATATACCACACTTAATTATGGATCAGAAACTAGGTCGATGTTGGACAACCGAAATAAAAAAGAACAGCAGCAGAGATGAAGTACCTACGCAAGATATGGGGGAAAACCAGAAGAGATAGGGTATGGAACAAGAACATCACAGAAGAACTAAGCTGGTACAGGAAATAGAAGGAAAACAACTAAGTTGGTATGGTCATTTGGTTCGAATGAAAGAAGATAGAATACTTAAAAAAATGTTCAACATGAGGCCAGAAGGACAGAGAAAGCGTGATAGATCAAGAGCCCAATGGGAGGGAGAGATTGAGAAGATGGTTGAAAGAAGAGGGAAGAGACTCGCCGAAGAAATATGGCCAGATATAGGAAGATGAATGAAAGATGGATCCAAAACTCAACATGGTAAGGTATAAATAGGGGCAAGAGAAAGAAGAAGAAGTAATCAAACCATGAGAATAATAAAGACATTTTTAAGAAAATTTTTTTTAAGTTAAGACGATACAAATACTAGCAGTGCATAGGAAATACTACGAAAGATCGAATTATCGATAGGTCTCAATATATGTATAAAATAAACCGGAATGTAAAGTATGGAAGGTTAAAAAAACATAGAATTTAGACAGCATGTTATGAATAAAATACGGACGAAATTTTATTTTATGTGATCGTTTATTACAAACAATACGTCCAATGATGTAGAATAAGTTAAAAAATTCTTGACATGACAAACAATCAGGCCAAAGAAATGTTTAATGTTTATTGAAGGTTATGGAAGGTATTTTTGTAATTTTCCTTGTTTTTAGGAAAATATTTTCCGGAAGGTAAGACGTTATTTGATTTATTTGAAGTTTATCATTCTTGAAAGTATTATGAAATTATAATTTATGCGGTCGTGTTACCACAAATAATACGCGAAATGATTCCGAAACTATAAATTTCTACAGGAAATCAAAAGTGTCAGGTGTGTAAGGTCAAAAGAGGTACTCCAGATATACAACTACAACTATATTAAATTAAAGAAAAGTGTAAATGATTAGCTTAAAGTTGTATTTAAACACAAAGAAATCTAAATTAATTAAACTAAAATTGTCTTACCTTGATACCAAAGATAAAGAAATTGGCCAAACGTTCATATTTTTACCACCGAGAAGATAATCTTTTGCTGAAGATTGTTTATTATAAAATCCATAATAAATTCCGATTACCGTACTTATTAAGAGCATTAAAATTAATGATGTGTAATCAAACCATGAAAATAACAAAGACATTTTTTATGAATAGTAAAACTTTAGTGTTTATGTTTAAATTTGTAATAAATATATGCAATAGAATACGAGCGATGTATGGGAGGCTAATAAGTGTAAGAAAACTTGTAATAGGCCTAAATATATAAGATATGCAGGAATTTAAATATCGAAGGTTAAAAACAATGTGGTATGTGTTCGTTTATCAAAAATAATACACAACCTACTTTTTGCGCAATTTTTGTTTTGTATATTGTGCGCTTTAAGTTTATTCTTAATTATTCCATCTCAGAATCACTGTCATTGCTGTCGTCACACTTCTTCAATTTTTCTGTATGTTTCGACTTCAGCTTTCGCTATCTTTTTGAGTTGTAGTTTTATTACTACATCTTCTACTTTCCCAAGTGATTCTAGAATTACATATATCACTTCCCTATAGAAGTCCTCCAATTTATTACTCAACATTTTTTCCACCTTCTTTCTTTCCACCAGTACCAAATTTAACTCCTCTAAATCCCCTCCATCTCTCCATACGCTTCCAGGTCATCCAATTCAGTTCTCATGCGGTTACTAGCGATGCCAAAAGTCAACGCCACTTTAGAGCCGATAAAAAAAATTGCGACAAAAAAGATTTCAACACGATATTAACCAAAATATGACAAATAATTGTGTTTGTCCTACCGTTATCAGTTTTTCAAAGTTAGGTCTCTCTAATTTTTTGGTGTGTTCCAGAGATAGAACGTCGCGCCTTTATTTCTTTACATAGGTAAGATAAAGGCGCGACGTACTGTCTGGAACGCACCATCTTTTCCGATTGGACGGAACCCCCCTCTCCCGCAGAGCTTATGTTTGTTTCTTTTTAGCGGTGGGTAGTGAAACTAAACCCATGAGATTTCTGTACGCGGAAAGGGGGACGCCACATAGCGGTAGGTAGTGGAAGCTTAGGTCACACATAAAATTTTGAAAAAATAACTAATCAAATAAACTATAAATTTGTAGTACTTTTTTTACAAATTCAATTATATGAGAAAGCTTTGGTTTACTAACATCCTTAACACCTTGTAAGAACAAAAATAAAAACAAAAAATGATGTGTTTAAGAAATACATTATTTATTTTTGAAACCAATGATAAAAGGAAAACTAAATAAAAACTATGTGCAGAGTAAACATAATAAACATAATACAAGCTAATGTATTAATTCCATAATTACAATTATATCGCTTGGAGTCATTTAGTGAAAGAACTAATTTATTTTGTAACATGTAAAAAAAGTAAAAAGTAGTAAAAATGTAACGGGACATCCTGTATAATAAATAAATATTTTAATTCGTTTTAGAATTACAACAAAATGTACTTGCCATGTTCACTAATGAAGTGTGGTGGGGTATAGCGTAAGATTTATATAAAGAGTATGTTAGTAGTAATGTTGACGATAAGTGATTAAACATAAAGCTTGACAATGGCAGAGATTTTATTTTCGTGGATCGATTACGTTTTATTCCTTTCTATGGTAATTCTCAGTACTTTGATTGGGATTTATTATGGATTTTTCCAAAAACAATCAACTGCTAATGATTATTTACTTGGAGGTAAACAAATGACAATTTGGCCGGTTGCCATGTCTTTGGCATCAAGGTAAGAAATGAATCATTGAAAAAATTAATTTAAATTTGTGTCAAAATTTCAGTACAATTTCTGGATTAACTTTGTTAGCACTTCCTGGCGATATTTATAATTATGGAATTTCTTATTGGCTTTGTATGCCATTATTCCCTTTAGTTTTATATATATGTTATAAAATTTATTTACCCGTTTTCTATAAACTCCAAATAACCAGCACATATGAATATTTAAAAATCCGTTTCAACAACAAAACTAGATTATTAGCATCTGTATTATATACGATTCAAAATATGCTCTATCTTCCATTTGTCATATATGCACCAGCGTTAACTCTTTCAAAAGGTAACAATTAATTAATTTAATGACATGACATGAAATGCTTTTTTATTTTTAGTAACCGGAATCCATTCTCATTACGTAACACCAACATTATGCGTAATATGTATTTTTTATACCACATTTGGTGGGATTAAAGCCGTTATTTGGACGGATGCTTTACAATTCTTTGTTATGTTGGGTTCTGTTGCTTTCGTTTTTATTATGGGAGTTGGTTCAGCTGGTGGAATTGCAAAAATTTGGGACTTAAATTATCAAACGGGACGATTCGATATTCCGTATTAAAAAATAATAATTCAAAACGCAAATTTTGCAAAATAACATTTATTCCAGATTTGAATTGGATTTAACAATAAGAGATTCTTTTTGGACCGGAAGTATCGCTAATTCCTTTTCGCTCATAATGGTGGCCGGAATTAATCAAAGTGTCGTACAAAAATGTTTATCATTACCATCATTTAAACATATTAAAACGTTGAGTATTTTTGTTTTTAATCATTAATAACTTTTAGAGATTTTATTTAACTTATTTTGTTTTTAGCACTTTCGTTCTATTTTTCCTCGCGATGTTTTCAGTGGTGACTGTCAGTTGTTGGTCGGGATTTATAATGTTTGCAAAATATTACGGTTGCGATCCTCTTAAGTCCGGTAAAATTAAAAGTGCAGATGAACTTTTACCTTATTATATTATGGATGTGGCACATTCAATACAAGGATTAGCAGGTTTATTCGTTTCCGGTGTGTTTAGCGCTGCTTTAAGGTAATCATATTTTACTTTTTCACACAGAATTAGCTTCATCAAATCAGATCTTCTTAGCGCACGTGTTTGCACGTGAGCTTTATTATTCAACCTAATAGGCATATCTTTTTCAACTGATGTGCTAGGCGAAGACATTGCAATAGATTAGATCCTCTTCACTAGAAAATCTATTAATATGGATGAGATAGTTTAGGCGCAATGAAGTCTAGTCCTATTGAAACGCTTAACGTTGAAGCCATAGAACCCCCACTTATCTTCAGATGCAATTTCTTGTCAACGAAGCAGATGGTTAAACTGTCAGCTTCGAACCATAAAACGTTTCATGCTAAGGTCGCTAAGTTAGCAGTGGAGGTCACGGGTAGAAGAATGGTTTGTTGAGATCCTGCAGTTGATGGAGGGTAGTTTGGTTATTCATACTGATACTTCCAAATCTGCAAGTGGTAGTGTTGGTTGTGCGTTTTTGATAACCACCATTGATTATCATGCCAATTTTAAACTTAACTTATCCACTAGTATTTTTGCGGCAGAAACAATATCAATTTTGGAGGCCTTAAGTAAGGTTAGTATATTCACCGATTCAAAATGTGTCCTACTATCTATAAAATACAGGAAACAGTTCTCAAAGTACCAGCCTGTTATAGTGGAAATATTGAACAATGTCACTAGGTTGAATGATCAAGGCCATGTGGTAAAACTTTTATGGGTAAAGGCTTACGCTGGTTTTGTCTATAATCAGCGTGTAGATAAGCTAGCTAAGGCGGCCTCCCGGGACGGTAAGCTAGTTAAAAACGAACTTTCTTCTTCTGAGGTCTTATCTAGCTGCAAGGAGAAACTTGTAAAGGAGGACTGGTGCAGACACTGGAATCAAACATATCAGCACAGGCAGACTCAGTACATTCGAATTAATCTTCGTATACTTTGCCATCAATATAGTGGACGTGACGTTTCTAGAAATTTTTTTCCAACTGTTGTCAGGCTGAGGGTCGGGCCATGGATATTACAGTACCCATCTAAATAAAATTAATATTTTACAGTGTCTCAATTGTTCATGTGGGTGGATTTGAATCATATATTTTGAACTGCGATAAATACGAATCATATAGGCTGGAATTCATCAATTCTCCGTGCCACTTGATGTTGTAACGATTTTAAATAGAAAATGTTTTGAAATTTTTAAAATTATTTTTGTTTTCACGAGGAAGAATGCCATTATTATTTGATATCGTTTAATTAAATTACTTCTTGTGAATGTTAAACGTTGATTTGTTTCGTTTTGCACTGCTTATGGGCTGGGATTTCACACGGCCATAAAATAAATAAAACCGTTATTTTCAAATAGAAGTGAATAATATGTCTGTGATATTATAAATTCCAATATAAATCAGTCAATAATACTCTTCAATTTCTTTTTTTTAATTTTAGTACATTATCTGCCTCATTAAATTGTTTATCAGCCACAATTTACGAAGACTTTATTTCATTATTTATGCCCAAAAATATATCGCAAGAAACTGTAAGCAAAATCCTCAAATTCTTGGTTGTAACGGTTGGGGTTATTTGCACGATTTTGGTTTTTGTGGTCGAACGATTGGGAAATATTGTACCTGTAACTTTCAGTTTTGTTGGTATTACAAATGGGCCATTACTCGGTTTATTTACCGTTGGAATGTTGGTGCCAATGGTTAATTGCATTGTAAATAAATGATATGATATTTTTGTAATTTATTTATTTATCTTAATTTATTAGGGTGCGTTAACCGGTGGGATAACTTCACTAATTGTTATGACCTGGATCGTAGTTACATCTCAATGGTACAAAACGAAAGGCGTAATAAAATATCCACCTTTGCCAGCTTTTACACACGGATGTAATGTTACTTTAAACGCTCTAAACGAAACGTAATATTCACTAATTTATTTTAATTTTAACCAAAAATATTATTTTTTTTTAGGATATCTACAACATCGTTCCCAAAGCTTTCTGAACCAGAAGAACCTTTTGTTATTTACAAAGTGTCATTTTATTTTTACACTTTATTCGGATTAATAATAGTTTTTATCGTTAGTATTGCTGTAAGTTATTTTACCAAAAGCGACGAAACATTAAATAAGGATTGCATTGCTCCTATTTCTCAACGTTTTATAAAATCGAAAGAACGGCCTACGTATTATACCATAGATAAAGCAGCAAATATTGTTGTAAACAATACCAATTAATGTTTGTTAAATAAATTTAATTATTCCTCATTATTTGATTATTTTTTATTACTTCTATTAATATTTTATATTATTTTATGTAATTTTCTTTTATAAACAAAAACATTTCTGTAGGGTTTTTATTAAAATAAAAAAACCTACCTGTTTTTAACTAGTTTATTATTAACACCTTCACCACAACGTGTCTTCTTTTTTCTGTGTTCTGGGTGAATTTTCTGGTCGTGTAGTCTTAAACTAAATCTTTTATCTATGCGTGTTATGTTCTAACTGAATCTTCTTCTCGACTTCTATTGATCGACTCGAGATCAAGTACACTCGAAAAGTCTCGAGCAGAATCTTTCCTACATATATTTACTGTTTTTTTGTTTCATAACCCATATTCGTGTAACTGTGTAACATGTAAGTAACAGTATTTATGACATCAACCCAAAACTTATTACTATGTTGTGGGCACTACAACTCTGATACCGAATCCCTTCTTGCTCTAAGCTTTTCCTTCTTTATTTATGTTCGTATTCTTCATGGGACACCACTCCATCCACAAAAACTTAGTATGGTCATCACATTTATTTAATTCTTCCGCAATTTCCTGCCATGTAAATTCCTTTGAGGTTGTGTCAAAATAACTTCTGTTTTTGACATCAAATATCTTAGTATGCGGAGATATTAAATTTACAATGTTTTTATCATTACCCTTGTTATAATTTCCCTGTCCTTCTGCTTTCACAACCCTAGAGTTTCTCCTCTTCATCTCCGTCACAGCGGCGTAAGACGTTTACCGTTCCTTAATAATAACCTCCCTTAACTTATAATCCTGCCCCTTCAAAATCACTTTCCCAAAATGTTCAATTTTTCTATATGTTTTGACTTCCCTGGTTTTTAACATTTTCCACAACTTCGCTATCTGTTCCTTCAGCTCCTCTTTTTTGAATTGTAATATTATTACTACATCTTCCACTTTTCCAAATGATTTCGCATATATCTGCTCCCTATGTGAGTCCTCCAATTTATTCTGCAACATTTTAATTATATGTATTGAAAATACAATATTTTCTTTAAAAGATGTTACTTTATTTTTTAATTATCGGTGCTACAAATTTGTTTCGGTACTATTACTAGTTGGTTTTACCGTCTAATTGTCAATAACAAGTTTTGATAATGTAGGTGGAAAAGACATATCACGACGAACCAACAATTTCGCTTTTTTAAACAGACAATTACGCGTTCTTTTAGTAAATAAATAGGTCACAAAGATACAATAAACACACTACAAATTGAAAAGTAAAAAGTTAAAATTACATAAAACTCACTATAAATAGTTAAAAATGCAATAAAAATGTGTTTATGTTATGTCTACAAATTTCAAAAAATATCGGTTGTTATTAAATTCAATTATGTCATTTAATAGACCTTCTCTTTCATGTATTTTTATATAGTACTCTTCCCAGAAATCCATTTCTTTAGATTTATTTAAAGTTTAGTAGAATTTTTACATTATCTAAACTAGCTGTGTAGCTGTTTTTTTAAATGTGTCTAAAAAACGCCAAATTATTCTTTGAGATATGCACTTTGTATCTACTTTTTACATTTCTACCTGTTTGGCCTATCTAGAACATATCACAACTATCACATTTGATCTTATATACCCCGCTCTTTTCCCAAAATTGAAACTTATGTCCGTTGTTAACTAATAGGTGCCCTAAGCTGTTATTGGACCTAAAGGCAGGGGTTATGTTGTATTTCTTACTTTTAAAGTTATTTTCTAGATTAGGGTGATAGGGTAAAATTATATACTGTTTTTTTTGGCGTAAAATCTTGGAAATATGATGTTGTTTATATTATTATTATGCATTTTGTAATATATGTTTTGCATTTCTGGGAAGCTATATCCATTATCTAAGCCTATTTTTATGATTTTATCAAGTTCAGAATTAAATGAGTTTTCATCTAATGGTACATTGATTAAACGATTAAATAAGAATGTCGCTTCTTTGTGTTGTTGACAGTGAAAAGAATTCTTTGGAATAATGCAGTTTGTTGTTGTATCTTTTCTAAATATGCTAAATTTAAGTGACTTGTTTCTTGAATGTTTAGGAAACTATATATTTCATTAAGTTGTAAGTTTCATTTAGTTTTATTAGTGGCTAGAAATTTTTCTATTATGTCGATGGTCTTAGATATCGGAACATTTGTGTATAAGTTTTTGATGTCAAAAGAAATAAGTTTTGTATGTTTTTCAATTTTTATGTTTTTAATTTTGTTTATTAAATCTACTGAATTCTTAATACGATATATGAAAATTGCCTTATGCACAGACACATTACTACAAAAAACTATGAAATGATGTAACTGCATTCTTCTACCATAGGTCATATCCGCTGTTTAATATGTAAGAGTATTTAACCTAAAACGATTTATTCAACTTTCTGCGAAAACTTTATTAAATAAGTTTTCGCTACTTTTACTAAGATCTTATTTTCCTTATCAACCCTTTCATTTTATTGCGGTGTGTAGCAACGGTACATGAGGAACACTTTTCCAGGCTGGTAATCGATTTCTCGATTAGGGGATTGAGATCTGACGACCCCAGACTACTTTGTATAGAGTTGCTTACCCTCCAGGCCCTCAGGAACAACATTCGCCAAAGAAATCGACATTCTAACCTCGAAAAAAAAATGAAATTTATTAAACATAATATATCGCCCTATTACTGCCAAAATGCAATAATTGACATTTTGAAGAAAATCGGAATACCTTAACCACTAACTGCATTTTGAAGTGGAGTATTTATGGGAAAAATAATTAACTACGATAACGTACTAAATAAGCCTGTTTTGTGCAGTTAATAGTCACTAAGTGAAATTCTCGAAAATTATTTTAAAAGCAAAACTAATCAATTGACTTAATGAGGTTCGCTTAATGCAAGTTTCGTAGTTATTGAGTAAATCGTAAATGCAAAAATTCACCAACACTTAGTGCGTTTTCGCTTTTACAAGAAGTGAATTAGTTACACTTTGTTTACATACCAGTTAGAGATTTTGCCTTGATCAATTAACCTTGTGTTGTAGATTTTCAGTAAGTATATTGTGAATTAAGCGTGAATTAAACGTAGTGTTAGACTTTAAAACGTACGACTAGTTACTTAAATATTTCAAGTATGTAAACATGCTTGGAACTAATGGATTTAGAGGACAGCGAAAACAAACACCAATCAACTTCGAATCCAGCATTTTTGTCTGTAACTGTTGATTTACAGAAAGTTCTTCAGATTCAGTCCGCTAGCGAATTACTTCTCTATTATTCCCGAAAACTGCATGTACAATTTTACAATTTATGAGTCAAAGCCTCCCAACGATGCACACTGTGTGGTATGGTCAGAATTAAACGGTAAAAGGGGCAGTAGTGAAATTGGAACTGCAATAGTGCATTGGATTAATCAACTTCCAGATACAGTTAACGAGATTTCTATATTTTCGGATACCTGTGGCGGACAAAACCGTAACCAATATCTCGCGGCATTATTCCTCTACCTTACTCAAACTACTCATTTAAACGTTATAGAGCAAAAATTTTAGAGTCAGGTCATTCGTTTATGCATGCAGGTAGATAGTATGCATAGTGCTATCGAAAAAGAACAACGTTTTGTACCTGTCTAATCAGTATTTGACTGGACGAACATTATGAGAAGAGCGAGATCGGCCAGAAACCGGTGAACTGTACGTCCCTACAATGTGCACCAATTAACATTTACTGATATCATGGATCTAAAAGACTTATCTAAAAAAATTATAAAAAATCGTGTCAAAGACGAAAATGGGAATAAAGTTAATTGGTTGCGTATTAAATGTTTACGTTATGAAAAACAATACCCTGGCAAAATCAAGTTTCGGTACGGCCTCTACAATACACTGAGTATACTTGGCTGAGGAAGAAATCCAAACATAAGCCAGATTAGTATCAGAAAAGCATACAATAAGCTAATTCCTATCAGTACGCAGAAAAAAAATGATCTGCTAAATCTTTGTCGTAAAGAAATTATACCGCAGAAACTACACCGTGATATGAACCGCTACCTGCAGATAACAAAATAAAAGAGACAACCACTGAACCAGCAATAAGTGAAGAGGACGATGAATCTGAAGAAGATCATTAAAACTGTATATTCTTTTTTGTTAATTAGATTGTGTTTATTTTACGTTGTCTTTGTATCCTTAATATAATATAATGATTTATTACTGCAAATGTGCTTATTATTTTAATTGCTAAAATTAACTAACTACAATTTTTTTAGTTTTTGTTCCTATAGGACTTTGTGAAATTGCTATAAGATTATAAACTAATACCTAACAACATAACATAATTCAAAATATAAGAAATAAAATATTACATTTGAATACTGATTTACAAGCTATCAATAATCTTTAGAAGTGTTTTTCTCCAAAATATCAAAATGTCACTTACAATTAGTGAGTTTTGGCAGTAATAGGACGATATATTGTGCCGTTAAAAAAAATAAAATTTTTTAAGTAGTTTTGGAATTACCACAAAATGCATTTGTCATGCATATTCACAAATGAAGTATGGTGGGGTATAGCATAAGAATTTATATAAAGAGTATGGTAGAGACAATAACATATTACGCGAAAATATCAAAAACGTTTAATTTAATGTTGAAGAAAAGTGATAACATAAAGCTTGACAATGGCGGAGATTTTATTTTCGTGGATCGATTACGTTTTATTCCTTTCTATGTTAATTCTCAGTACTTTGATCGGGATTTATTATGGATTTTTCCAAAAACAATCAACTGCTAATGATTATTTACTTGGAGGTAAACAAATGACTATTTGGCCGGTTGCCATGTCTTTGGCATCAAGGTAAGAATTGAATCATTGAAAAAATTAATTTAAATTTGTATCAAAATTTCAGTACAATTTCTGGATTAACTTTATTAGCACTTCCTGTCGATATTTATAATTATGGAATTTGTTATTGGCTTGGTTTGCCATTATTCCCTTTAGTCTTATACGTAT